CGCGCGCTCGCAGACCCCCGGGGCGGTTGCCGGGAGAGATGCTGGAAGAAACTTCTTAAATGACCGCGTCCGGCTGGCCGTGGAGCATTTCTGGGTTGGGGAGAGGAAAGGAAAGTGGAAAAAACCAGAGAACTTCCTGATCTCTCTTGCTGTGAGACATGTCTGAGACTCCTGCTCAGTGTAGCATTAAGGTAAAAAAAAAAAAAAAAAAATTTAAAAAAAAAATCTTCTCCCCTTCCTCCTCTCTGATCGCAAACCTTAAGCTGCACCGGCCAGGGCAGCCGCGTTGGGCTCTTCGGAGGGGGCTGTTGCAGTTGCTCTGTTCGCAGTAAATTATTTGGGGCGCGAGGGAAAGAGATGCAGCTCACGGAGACTGCTGTACCCTTTAGTGTAACCTTGCTACTCTTCCTGCCGAGCCCCTGATCGTCTCCTCGGTCCCTACATCCCACCGCCTTTCTTTTTTGACAATGCAATGACCGTCACAATTGGTCAGGAGGAACCCTGGTCGTTTCCAGACCTGTAAAACACCCCCGTAATTAGTGTGCTTTAAAAAAACAACCCTGATCCCTGTCCCTCCAGCCTAACATGTGACTGAAAATGTAACTTTTGTTCCGGAGGGGTGGTCTCCTTAGAAGAAAAAGTTCACCACCCCTCCCACTGGAGATGGAATCGTTTCTATTTTTCCGGACTCCCTGGGTCTGATCAGACAGGATTCCCCTCTCTCCTTCTCATTATAATTACAATCGCTGGTTGGAGAGACAGTCCTGGTGTCAGCTTTTCCTGAGCGTTGCACAATGAATTCCCCCCCCCTTCACCCTTTTAACGTGAATAAAGTTGTTGAATGGTCTATTACACCGATGCATATGAAAGTTGAGCAGTTTCAAAGTAGAAAACCGTGATGCACGGAGATCAAGCACTGTCTTAATGTCCAGACAGGATGACCTTCTGTGCTTGACAGTGCAAGGGAAATATATCTCTATGACTGGAAATCTCCCAGCTTTCTGGCCATGTTTTGCAGTATTGTAAAGGCGGATGGAGGATATTTGCAAACACTGTGCTTGGCAAACAGTGTTGCGCGTGCACGGACTTATATCCATCAAGGTTGGTGATGCTGCTGTTTGTTACTGCTAAAAAGTTGTTGTAAAGTTTGCCACCGAGGGGAGGCATCGCCCCCAGTTATTTTTTCCATTCCTGTATTTCGGGTGTACTTTATTTCTTTCACTGTTTTGATCAGTGCCGAGGTATTTCTTGGCCTATTTAGTGTTGTTTGAGTGGACACTGTAGAAACAGTAGACAACTTGTTTTCTTCATCTATGAGGAATGATAGAAAGTCGTTCCTATTTTCGCAATTGCTTGTCAATTAGAAACTGTTTTAGCGAAACACTTTAAAATGCTTGCTTGGTACGTTTTTGTAATTATACACAGAATTTAGTATTTCTTATTAGGAAAGATTTTCATGGGTTTGAGGTAGGTAGGGCTAATGTGAACCGAAAAGGTTGAGTTTCTTTGTTTTTATTTTACAAAAATACTCAATGGAACTTTTGGATTTGTGTGTTTGTATGTGTGGGAGGGGGAGGGTAGGTGTCTGGGCATGGAGGGAGAGCTGCAGAAAAGAACTTAAGAGTACTTTACTTCAAAACCAATTTTGCTAAATAAATTAGATTCCACATTGAGTTTGGTAAAATCCTGTGGTATGGATAATCTGATTTACTTGACACTTCATAACACAACTAGGGGGTAATACAATAACAGGGTATTAAATCAGTAAATTGTATTTAGCACAATGGCAATAAAACTGACACCAGGAAAACCTAAACCAACAACGGGGCAGTAATTTGGGGTGGAAACTCCAGAAAGCAATCTTTTCTATGATTTTTCTTCTTATCTCTTAATAAAGAGACTGCGTAGTTCCACTGGCTTCATGGTCTTATGGTTGTGAGCTGGAGTCAGAAGTTCTACACAGCAGCTCTCTTCATTGAATTCTATGGGGAAAAGACTTTTTAGCAGCCTTTTTCTTACATACATAGAGTCCCTGTCCCCAATCAAAGCAAAACACCTTTTAAATGTGATGTAAATATTATGTTCATAATTAATTAAATTATGTGTGCTTCCCCCCCCCCTTGTTACAATCTTATCTTTAAAGCACTTCCTTTCATTTCTGTATAACTCAATATAAGGAGCTTTCATGTTCTCCACCAGTAATAAAGGAACTGTTTTTAGGTTAGTGTAGTCTTTGTGGATATAGTATCAGTATATTCCTTTTTGCTTAGATTTTTGTATGTGTTTAGGTGCACTGTCTAGGAAGTTTATCTTTACAGGGAGTTTGTATAAGTGACAGAATTTTAGTAATAAGCACCAGGGATCAAGAACAAGGATTATTCCAGGTCATCTGAATCTGTACAGCGTTTCATTTAGTCCTTGAAATGTGGGACTTTAACTGTATAATAAAAAATGTTTGCTGGTAACCCACAAGCAAGAACTGGGGTTGCTTCTGGAACCCAGTAAATAGTACACTTCTCCTTGGAGAGGAGAAGGTATGTCAGAATCTTTCAGGGATGAGCTGATGAGTCTAATGGACTGAGTACACGTAACAGTTTTCTGAACGTAGAGAGATTTGTGTGACTCCTTTCCACTCCTGTAACCTTCTTTCAGTTGTTCTCTTTCCTTGCAAGTGGCTGGTCAGCAGGCAGTAAATTCCTAGGTGGTTGGTGTGATAGAACCCAGAGGAGCCCAACCAGGGGTAGCCACAGTGGGAAGTGTTTTGTTTACTCCTAATCAGGATTTTCATGGGTAGGAAAAGTCAGAGTATGATTTAGGTGGAGTTCTCAAGGTGAAAGTTTCTGGGTTCGTCCATCACTGACACTTTTATCAAGGTTTCCTTTGTGGTTGTGGCTGACAATGCCTATAAGGGCCATTGTATTTCTTTTACACTTTATTAGTTCCCTCTTATCATCTCTGAGAGCTAATATCAGGCAGCTGGATTAGGCTTTTTGGGTTTTTTTGGTGCTTTATTATTAGTTTTAATGAAAATTTACAGACGTTGGATTTCCATTCATTAATTGTTACACTTTTTTCCTTGCCCCCCCCTCCCCAGTTTGCTCTTCTCTTTGAAAAGTAAAAGGAAAATTCTTTCATTGTTTTACAAATCCCTCCCCCAAGTCCACTCTACTATGCAGCTTTTGTTCTGGACTCCTGTCATGACTGTAATACCTAATCACATATCCCTTTTAAACAGTTCTCTTTCATCTGTTTCAAGACAGTATACATTATTGAATCCACTTTTCTCAGTCTCCCTCCAACCCTGATGTCAGTCCCATTTACAACCGTGGCATTATGCAGTATTTGTCATTTTATAACAGATATTTCACTCAGCATAATGTCCTCCAGAGTCACCCATTTTGAATAATATTTCATGAGTTCCTTGTTTTTCAATGCAGCATAATATTCCATTGTGTGAGTATACCAGTACTTCTCTATCCATTCATTTGTTGACGGGCACATAGGTTGTTTCCAATTCCTTGCTATTGTGAACAAAGCCACAATAAACATGGGTGTGCATATATCTGCTTGGGTGGCAGTTCTGGTTTCTTTGGGGTATATTCCCAGTAGTGGAATTTCTGAGTCAATTGCTATTTCTATTTGCAGCTTCTTCGGAAAGGGCCATACAACCTTCCATAGTAGTTACACCATTTTACACTCCCAACAGCAGTGAATAGGTTCCAGTTTCTCCACAACCTCGCTAGCATTTGTTGTTTGCTATCAGGCAGTTTTTACGGGAGGATCGAAAGGGTGATGGTGAAGGACTAGTCGAAGGTCATCAAAGCTATTATCTAGACAGGTTGGTCAGTTGTTTCTCTACAGCTTCCATATCTGTTCTGACACTCTTATTGTAAGCACTGTTGCTGCTGTGATGTGCCGCTGACTCCACTCAGGTACAGCTCTGAACCTTCCTCTATTGTTAACCAATTTCATTGTCTCTGACACATATACCCCCATTGCCCTAGTCACTGAGTCAATCTGTCTCATCTGACATCTTTCTCTCTTGCGCTCTCCCTCCACCCTTCCAAAGCATGATGACCCTCTCCAAGGACTGGTTCTTCCTTGCAACATGCCCCAATTCCCGACCATTTGGGGTTGTTAAAATGTAAGGCTAGAGTCACCCATCGGAATAAAAAGACTTTTTTTTTATCCCCAAAGGATTGCCTAGTTGTCTGTGCTGGTTACAGGAGGAAGGAAAAGCCTTCCTTTTCCATTACCAGCCTTCGCCTTCAGGTCACCCGTTCAATTTAAGTTCAGCCAAGTTGCAGCGGAAAGTGGTTATGGCTCAGCAGACACAGCCTTTTGTTAGACCTGGCACATTGCTTTCATTTGGTGAGGATGATCCAGGGTACAAAACGTAGTCGTATAATTTTCATTGTCTAGTTTTTCTCTGCCTTTTAAAATTGTGTCTGTGAACTGGGAAACTCTCTTGGCCTCCTCTAGTGGACTCTGAACTCCTTGGGTTTAGTTACCTTTGTGTCCCAGCTTCTAACGTGAAGTGCCTCTCAGTGAAGTTTGCTGATTTGAAGTGAGGCTCATCAGTACTCCTTCCTCTCTCTACTTGCAGACCTTAGGTTGTCTTAAAAAAGCCTTCATCCACTGGCTTGCATCACCAGTTTTTTAGGGCCAGCCACACTGTAGTTTCATAGAGAGCCAGACTGATCCTTGGGTGTCTGACTAGAAATTATTGTTACTGAAGTTTTTGTATCATTAATAACTTTTCTTTTTTTCATATAATTTTTAAGGATGGTTTCGGGATTAAAAAATATGTAAATGAATAAAAACTGACTAACAGATTCAAAAGGGCTTGAGTAAACCACCTTAAAAGGTTTAGACGAGCAAGCTTCAGTTTTTTTTCCTCTTAGTTTTTCCTGGCAATAAATTCGAGGAATTTTTTAAAAGATGTATTTGAACTTTTAGCGTTACAAGACCTAGGAAGTCAACTGGATCAAAGTTTTTCTACAGAGAAGAGGCCCCGAGAACTAAATAGCTTGCTTTGGATAAATGGTGACTAAGCCAGGTTTACAGGCCTCCTAGTTTTCAGACCATCGTACCACTCTCTCTGGGTTCTTGGTGCAACCCTATAAAAGGCCAAGGGAATTTGATACAGTAAGTTTCACCCTCTCTGGCACTTCCTAGCTTGGTCCATTTT